TTATGTGAATAACCGACCACCCAAGAGTATAAACTAAATACCCTGCAGAGTGCGTTTTCAATAAGTGCCGCAAATCCAAATTCAAAGTATTTACATCAGCCAATCAGATGACAGGTAAACATCACAAGTGAACTAAGAGTAAAGACACGTAACCTAGCGAAAGCGCGGTAAAACACGAGTGAGCAATCGTTTTGGAGCGCTTTTTGAATGATTATTGTAAAACTACACTTAATTAGAGCGACAAATCACAGAGAGAAATAGTCATGATGAGCAACTGAGAACTCATGTCGAAAAAAAGCAAACTGTTTCAGCGCGGAAAAACACGGTAGATTAAAGAGGTTTAAATTTTGCATCTGATTAGTTGATCGCATGAAGAGCTCGTTTCTTAGTCAATCATAGTTGATGAATGGGGAATGTAAGACCAAAGTTCAAACGAAGAACATGTTGATTGAAGAATAAGATTGCATTTCTCACAAGCATTTCACGAGTAACTCGATTGTTTAGCGACCCTAACAATGCCAGAACTCCCATTCAGTATTAAATATTAAAGCAACGTCGAAATAGGAAAGCGAAAACCCTTTACGTCGGGGTTTCTGCTCTCGGATTATGCAAAATTTTAGCGACATCACATTGTTGTTTTGCGTATGAAGGCTATGAAAAGTTCAAAGCTTTGAAACAAGTGTGACGCCCAATGGTTTAGGTTACTTATCCTTCTAACTCCCATGAGTGACCAAGACAGAATTTCTCCTGACGATCTTATTACAATACATTGCAGACAAGTGATGAGAATTTAGAAAAATATCAAGGGAATTATTGGTTGATCCAGTACCGAATTCTCTGAACTACCACCATAAGAGTTGTATCGCAGACAGCAAGGGGAATTTCTAATGATATCTTGGGAGTGAAAAAGTAAAAAATTTCTCGATGTGTTTATTTGTTTTGGGGGTTTTCCCAAAATGAGCTTTACTAAATGATTTAATCTAATGAATATGTCATGAGATGAACGTGACCGGGCTGTTACGTAAATCGTGTTCCTGTGAAAATCTCATGACCAAGGAAAGTTAAATGGAACGAGATAACATTTTTTTGGATTCCATCGTTTCCTTCCTACTAATATCGATTGGCAAGGCAGAAGTCTTCTCTGATTAAACAACGGTGAAGTTCATTTCTCGGTTATCGCTGATCCTCACGTGACGTGACGAAGCTTACAATCTGACCTGTGCCACACGCTCTGAGGGTTCCTGCCTTATTTGGAAAAAGTCACGTCGTCTTTTTTCATCCATATAGTGCTTACCCAAACGCAACCACTTTGATGCTCTAAATTTTTTCAAAATAGCTCCCTTTTTGCGCTCACTTCTGTTTCTTTATTCTTCTACGATTTCGTACCGATATTAAGCAATTTCACCAAACCTGATGACTTGTTTTAGTCTGTTTGTTTACGTGTCACGACTTAAGTGATTTTAGGATACTCGTGACAATGAAATGAAACGTCTCTACACCTCATTGCATGTAAATATAATTTTTTGGCGCGATTCCCAGAGATAAACTTTTGAACTGATTAACAAGAGACGTCACTTGTACTTTTGAGTGCTTTTTAATCAAGAATTGAAATCGTTCTAGGTCTAAACTTTTTGAAACCAACTTCAAAACGTTGAGAAAGATGTTTATTTTGTCTTGTCACGAATGTTGGGTAGAGAAAAACTCTGAGTGCCCCGATGAGGAAATTGAACCTCAGAAATAACACTTCAAAACGTGTTTTTCTAAAATGAAGCGTAAATAAAATTGTGTCTAGATTCAGCTGCACTCCCAAATCAAATTAACAACAACAACAAAAAGAAAACAACGAAAAATGTTTTCGTTATGAAAGCTATGTTTACATTGGATCGTCTACGTTCTACTTACTGATTCGTGATGTTTCAAGTCAAGAAATTGTTTTATCTTCATGTCAAGAGAAAGATAAGTGAAAATGGCACTTACATGGATAATATGTACGAACATCATTCTCCTTAGACCCTTCAGAAGTAAAGTTAGAGGTGCTGTGTTTAATAGACGGAGTTGCGTCGTCGCCATATCTCACCAGAACGGAGAACGACACCAGAAGTAGAACTTGGAAGAGACCACTGATGAGAGAAAATTTGAAGCCCATGTTAGCTCCAGGCGTACAGCTCTGTTCTGTAGGACTATTACGAAGAGACTGATAGAGGGGTGCGACTTAAGGCAGGTCTAAATCTGTACAAAGTTCTACAGTGGAATGAAATATTTTTTGGCGACTAATTCCAGTTCCGATCCAGGGTTAAATAGTCTCCATTAGCCCCTCAGGTACAGAGCACGTGAAGATTGTTGCTCTTCAGAAGGGGTGTCGTCTCACTCCTCTAAGACAAAGAGGATTCAGAGCTAGGAATAGCTTTGGGCCTAAAGGTTAATTTCCACACAAAACCATTAGTGGTATAAGAAAGATTTCATTGGTATTACGCGTTTTTCTTTCACAAATTGTCAGTCATCGTCTAAGCTCTGAAAATTGGACCAAAAATCCTTGTTAACCTTTTACATTAGATGAATGTATTTCTAAAGTGCGTGGAAAGCTTGTAATACGTACCCGAACAAACCTGTTTTTTTTTTTTTATGTTACGACGGACCTTAGACCTTGGAACTTGAGTCCTCCTCTCTTGGGTACCTAAATAGATTCCTCGTCCTATGGGTACCCCTGTGAGCTCTGAACCAAACATGATCCGCGTGCGTGACAATGCTGTATATATCTTTACAATATCGCTATAAGAATATACGCGATTTGGATATTTTTGTCTATGTATCGTTACGCTCTTGTGACAAGCCTCTAAGAAATATTGATTATTTAACAGTTGATGTCCCTTTTAGTCGTACAGAAACTTTAAAGAATTCTTTTTTTACTCGGGTTTGTCGCGCATGGAACAAACTATCTCTCAGCATCAGGGAATCTAACACCTTACCACTCTTTCGCAAGAAATTGTTTATTAATTTTTATAATAAGTTCAGTGCCATTTTTTTAATCGTAATTATTTTATTTCTATTATGAGTTTAGAGCATTTTTTAACACTGATTTTTTAACTTAGTAAATCAACAAGGCAGTTTATTTTAAGGGATCTTAAGCTGTCCTCAAATTGATTGAATTGACGTGCTCAATTTAATTAATTTGGAATTTGTATTAAAGATTAAAGATTTAAGTTTAAAGAGCAAATTGCTCTTTACCTCTCCTCTGTCATAAGATATTTCATGTGACTTTTCACCTTTTTATTTTATAGAAACGTTACATGAAAATTCAATATGCTCACGGTAGTCCGTCAACGAGTAATTATTGGAAAAACCGTTAATTAAATTGACCTTTTTCTCTGAGGTTGTCTTCTGTTTCCTAATGTCACAAATCCATTTTTTTGCGCTTTTTTGAAAAATAACAGTTATGATGAATCTCTAAAATGCCAGGAAGTATTGTAATATCCTGAGAGTGCCCATTATATTTTTTCCTTTTCTGTAGGCGGCAAACAGAAAAGCAAACAAGTTTCGCTTTGCCTTACTTGTCCAGAAGCGCAGAGTACAAATTCTGTACCAGGCCTCTAGATTACTCGCACAAAAACTGGGCCATGTCTCTGATGCCCCTTGAGCCTTAGTACAGTTGAAGTCGCAAAGACCTGAAAATGGGTCTGAAATTTTCAGTAACCTGTGGGCTCTTCGAGCTGATGCTATTGACCCTGTTTGCTGTTCTGGTTAAATATGGGGAGCGTGCTATGCCCCCATGGCGACGAATAAGCCAGGACGTAAACAAAAGCTCTGAAGTACACGTTCACACGGGTTCTGAGAATGATGTGCCGATTCTCTATCCTTGTAAGTGAAATGTGCATCGTTATCTCTCTAATACTTAGGATAAAGAGGAGCCGCATTGTACTGTTTGATCCTTACCCTACAAAGTGAGACAAATTTTTTTTACGAAATAAGTCGAACACGTTTTGTCCTCATGTTCCGTCACCCTTCAGTAAGTCAGTGTTTTTTTTATGAAACAGTGAGGCCCAGCATAAAGTTCGCTATGGTTCAATGATAAAAAATAGGGGCGCGAAACGCGAAAGTCTGAAGTTCGATTCCTCATGGGACTCTGAAATTTTTCTTGGACCTACGCTAAAGACAAGACGAAGAAACATCCTTCTTTAATGTTAAAGGGTTGATAAGAATGAAAATTATCTACTTGAAATGGAATAACAAAATCATTCAGCTGAGATGAATTTAAGCTATCGACACTTGCGTTCTATTAGTCGGGTTGGCTGACCTTAATTTTCAAAAAATTGCGCAAAGACCGTATAAACTGTAGCGTGAAAAGAGTTTTTGACGTTTTTAGATGAAACACACAGTTGGACAGTTTCTGTAGTAAACGATAGTCACTTGCTGGAACATGTAGTAAAATCACCGGTAGAAAGATTATTGTTACAATTTTCCTTTTGCCTCGTCATACAAATTTTTAAATTGTATTTAAGAGGACAAAAGAACTATGTCAGATTTTTCATTTTATTTTCAAAGCAAAAATTGATCTATCATGATCGATCAGTAGCTTGAGTGCTTTCTTTTATATTTACATGCCGGCTTTCACCGTCTCATTACTAATGTCCACTGCTTCGTGAAACCACGTTTTTCTGGTCGATCTGGGTCCCATGATCAACCCGCAAGAGTCTCATGATCACCAGTCAAAACCGCGAAAAGACTCGTATTTGTTACCACGATACTTACTCTTTTCTTGTGATCGATGTAAGGCACAATTCCGTAACTTAGCGATATATTTTCCTTCCCAAGGGGACATAGAGGATATTACATCGCCGCGCGTGCACGTGGATACAAATTGTATCTTCGAGTATTCGTAACACCTATCAACAAATAAACATGTAAACACCCTCGCCTCGCGCTCACTTTTACGCGCGCGAAGGCTCTTGCTTCCACACACAGCTCTTGTTCGGTTTGCTCCTGTGCGCGTGTGTTTATAATGGATACATGCTGGTGCAAAACCACGCGCACGTCTTAGCCTTTGACCTTTATTACTTCTCAAAGAAAATTGGTTCAACTTTTTCCTTTTTTAATTCTTCTGCTTTAATCTGCTCCTTAATTTTAGTTTCGATTGAGGAGATAGATCAAACATTCGAGACAGCATTCAGTCATATTCGCAAACGTGTCGAAAGTCGTCAAAAATACACCGTTACACGTCATGTTGTCGACTGTTATCATGATTGTTTCGCTTTTCTTGCTGTCTCGCTTCATTTTTTTTTTCTTACGTGTCTTCTGTTTCCTTCTACAGTCTTTCAGGATGTTAACGTTATCGTCTTTTTTGGCGTTGGTTTATTGATGACCTTCCTAAAGAAGTATGGTTATAGTGGTGTGGGATACAATTTCTTCATCGCTGCCCTCCTTTCCCAATGGGGTGCAATTGTAAATGGCTGTTTTAATCAGATTTACATCGATGGAAAAGACCACATTGAAATTGGTCTAAGAAGGTATGTATAGGTAATCAAATGATTTCTAGTGCAATTTAGAATAAATAGACACGAGTAAATTTTTTTCAAAGACTAAAAAAATTTACAAATGTTTATTTATTCCAAATTGCACGAGAAAAATCATATGATTACGTAATAACAATATACATGAAAAATTACGAGATAGCTTGTCATAATTATGTAAAAGCAAAGCGCGCACATCAAGTGCAAAAAATTATTTATTCAAACCCTGCAAGTAACATGGTACTTTCGGTCAAAACAACCGCGTACGATCTAAACAATAGTATACAATGATATTTTCACATATTTAAGGCGTAAAAAAGTTCAAAGTCCGGCTAAACAGTTCAAGGAGTTGTTCAGTCTGGTTTATTACTTCTTTGCACTGAATTAACCCTCTTCTGTATTGAATTACCTGAAAAATGTATTTACCTTAACCAATCAGAATTGAGTAATTTTTTCATGTATTTTGTTAGTGCCAAAAAGATCCAAAAGTCGTATTTCACCGTTTATTCTCTATAAAGACTTTATTAGCAGGCTAAGTACAAAATGAATATTTTTTCTTTTTCTTGCTGTGCCCTATAGAAAGTATTTAAATTAAGTTTACTAATCTACCCACCATGTTGTCTGGCATAATTAAAGGTATAGATGTGTGAGAGTGGAACAAATAGGCTCGCAGCACGTGCATAATTACGAATGCAACGATTTACTTCTTATGCTTTCGCTTCGTCTGATTTCAATGCAGTTTGATAAGCGCGGAGTATGCCGCCGTTACTGTCCTCATCAGCTTTGGAGTGGTCTTGGGAAAAGTGAGCCGCCTGCAACTACTTGTCATCGGTATCCTGGACATATTATTCTATGCCGTCAATAATTTGTTGGCAGTCAAATATCTGAAGTACTCCGACGCAGGAGGGTCCATATTCTTGCATGCGTTTGCGGCGTATTTCGGTTTAGCCTTGTCCTGGATACTTTACAATGAAAATTCTTTGGACAATTATAATGAAGGATCCAGTTACCATTCAGATATTTCTGCTATGATTGGTAAGATATAAAGGTATTATCCTGAAACAATTCTTTAGGTATTTGCTTAAATATGTCACAGCAGTCACACACACAACAAATTGAATCGTATTTGGCTCAGCTTACAGAGCAGCTGTTGTTTCTATGTGTTTTTCAAAAGGGAATAGCGCGGGAAATGCGCGCGTAAGATGCACGGAGTGCGAGCAAATCAACCACCAAACCCCTACTCGAGCCCAGTTCACATCCCCTCTTGTCTGAAACTGCAAAAACTTACACTAGCACTTACCCCTGACTCGTCTCCAGTCATCTCCGAGGGAAGCGCTCAGGGGTGAATTAAGGAATAGCCACCTTACCTCCTCCTCCTCCTTGTCGCCTGTCACAACGTCCCGTATCTATTTCTCTCGCGATTCTAAAGACCGAAAACAGACTGGAGATGAATCAACATTCGCCATTGCTTGAGTCAACTTTCGATCACTGACAGACATAAAAGACCGCAAATGTCGTTTGCAATCCAATATCTGATCAAACCTCTAAGTTTTGTGACTATCTATGTAAGGTAATTTAGTAGTATCAACTGAGTTGATAACGTAAATTGGCCACCGTAAATTTAATAATAAGTTCTTATATAGCGCATTAAAATTGAACTCTATGCGCTTAAGTTTTTTTCCTGAACATGTACAAGAAAGGTTATTTTCCGCAACCTCGAACCCAGGCTGCATCCAAAGGAATGGACTTGTGCTGACATAACACTGTGATTTTACCCTGGTTAATAATAACCTCCCTTTTCTTGAACCACACCTGGGGATCTCTAAGGGAAGGTCGAAACGATTATTTACCGGCCTGGAGGTCCGCACGGTGAAAAACTGTGAACAAAGTCTGAGAAATGCTCCCTGAGGCCACACGTCGGGGGCAACATTTTTAAGTCCACGCTACGTGTGCAGTATTTGTTACCATGACCTGTCAGAGAATGAATCAAAAGGCTGTATTCTATAAAGTTTCTTTCTTGTGAAACTAAAGCAATCAAGAGGTGTTTTAATGTAATGTTGAATGCAAAATCTTGTCAACATATAAAAGCTAATCTTTCTATTTTCAACTCTTACCTCATCCGTAGTCATTCTTAGCCAAGTCTCTCAAAATCCATGACACATGCGGTGTGCACAACTTGCATGGAATTCCGGGAATTTTCGGTGGCATTGCGGGCGCAGTTATTACTGCGCTTGCACAAGTTGACTCATACGGATACGAAGGGTTTGTAGTTTCCTCTCTTTTGCAACAGATTTTGTATACATTGCCACTCAGAAAACCAAACCTAACGTGACAAAGCAGCCAATCTGAACGAAGAGAAATATCACACACGAGCCAATGAGAACTCGATATACAAACATATCCTGAGCGCGGGAAAACGCGAGTGACCATGTCGTGAATGGTTAAGTTTTCCATCTTCTTGGCTGAGTGGGTGAAGAGTGTTTTTTCATTCCATTCCGCACTACTCTCGACACGTTCTCTTTTATTTTCAGTCTATTCAGTGTGTGGGGTGCGCGAGCTCCGAAGATGAACTCAATTGAATACTGGGAGCTGAAGAATATGAGTGTGAAGTTTGATGTGGGAGATGAACGCTCAGCCTTTGTTCAGGCTGGTTACCAGGTCGCTGGTATTATGGTTACTTTAGCCATCTCTATCTTTGGAGGAATTGTGACTGGTAAAAATTTTTTAGTGATATCAGTTTTATCGAAAAACAGAAACGAAGCAATGCGGTGGGTGACTGAAAAGCTGTACCAACATGCTTCAACAAGTCTCAGTTACTCCGAAAGTTGCCATTAGAGATTAAAATTGATTTCCTAAAAGCGACCCTCATTATGAAATAGACTCGACATATTGAAACTGGTTTTCTCTATTTAGGTTTGATTGTTAAAAGAGAGATCTTTGATCCACCAGCTGAAGAACAACTGTTCGATGATGAGGATTTTTGGGTGGTGAGTGTGTATTGAGGCTTGATAACTGTTGAAATTCGGTACTAATAACTTATGTGTAACAAGGGTCTAAAATACACGAGAGGGAATGAGACCGATACTCGACCCAAGCCTCTTTTTTGTGCGCTTTGTGTTTTATACACATGGGCGAGAACTAGACACCACGAAATTTGCAAGGCTCTGTGTTATAATTAACACTCATCGACCGATGTGGAGGTGAATGATGGTGGGTAAGTAGCAGGTTGCAATGCGGCGAGATAAATATCCACCACTTTCACCAACACTGAGGTGAATAATTGTGTTAGTAGATACCAGACAGAAACAAAAAAAAATAGTTTATATTGCCAATATACCAAAAAATGGATAGAAATTTAATTGTTGACGCGCGATTTTGTCTCCTTGGCTACTCGGAGGTGAATAGTACTTATTAATCACTTCCGAACCGGCCAATCAGCGCGCACGAAAAGAACTATTCACCTTTGAGGTACAGTATATACTAATTATTCATTCTTAACATTAGCATTTGTTTCTTTTCCTGACAGCTCCCACAGAAACATATTGAGGGATACGAAAACATTGATTGAATCAAGATGAGCCGGCTGTAACTCTTGCTCTGGGGCGCTTTGCCTATCAATATTCATTAGTTACATTGATTTTGTGTAACTAGACAATTACTATTTGAATTTTTATCTTGTGTATTACAATTTGATTTTTGTAGTTTTGACTTCCCTTATGTAAGACAATCAAGAACATGTTAATATGTCTAACTGTTAAGTTTTCCTTTTTTTTCTGAATCTTTCGAACGTCAATAAGAGTGTTTGCTATGGAGCTTTGTAAAATACAGTGCTATCTTTTCTGTTTCAGTGCTGTCTCTCTGTCGTTTAACTGCAAAATCATGCGTATATTTGGAAGGCCCATTTATGATACATTTAGATAGCGCATTCTCTATATTAGTAAATATACTCTGATGCACTTTAAAACATTTTGCGGAGGACTTTGGCCAGACTGCCTTAGGAGGTTTACAATTTTAGAAAGGAAATTTTGCAGGTGCCCCCAATTTAGGAATTTTTGGATACAAACCCAGACCAAATACCAAAAGTTACGTTCCCTACTCTTTGCGAGAAGAGATTGGGTTCTTTTACGTTCCCACTTTGATTTTATCCTGCCAATCCTTTAGTTGGCCTTTTCCTGTAAAGGGACTAAGTCTAAGAATGAGAAATGGTTGGGGAGAAGAAGGGGATAAGTCGTTGATAAAACTTGCATCGTGTGACATATGAATTGATGAAAACAGTAGTGTACATTGTGTAGCAATTGTATTCCATCTGATCTCATGGCTAATACTAGTACACCGTATATGTCTGAGGCTAAAACATACGTCGCCTTATAAGGAAAGGAATACGGTTGTGGACCCTAATTTATATATATTCACTGACTCTTTTCTGGACTTATTGTGTTCTGACCAAGCCAACCCAAACATTCTGTCAATACGTCAAATCCAGCTTGATGGGTCGATCAACTCGAACCTCAAACCCTTTACTCTCTAACATCAGTCTGCATAATCTCCATACTACTCCTTAGACTTTTTCTTAGGATTCTGACAAGGAGAATTTGTTTAACAATCAAGAGATTCTTTAGTTGGTGATCATCTCCTTTATTCTCATGACCTTAATGTTTGATTCAGGGGAGTTATTGCAAGGAGAAATTAGATTTTAGTCACTCTTAGGGGTGAAAGGGTTAACTTCCCCCCCTGGGTAAACTCGGGCATTTGAACATTTGAAGATTGGTTTGTTCAAATTCCCGCCCCCATGGAGTAAAAATTGTATTCAAATGCCTCACCCAATTTTTTCGTAAAGGCAAAAACAGCGACCGTGACTTTCATTTACCAAGCTTTAAACTAGGGCCTAAACCTTGTTGGCATTCTTCTAAGCCATTCGTTTGTAAAAGTGAAGTCTTTACCTTTAAACACCTCCATATTTAAAGATGTAACACTTGTATTCCGATACAAAATTCCCCACTTTATCCAGGCAAGGTTTAAGTTCTCCATCCTTGGTGCACGGACGACAGTCTAATAGCCGTGGATTGCCTGGGGGGGGGGTGGTGTTTAAGCTTCGAATTAATCAGCCCTTGATTTTCTATAACCAAAAATTGCTTTTGTGGAATCAATGTTGCGAAGTTTCCAAAAATTACTCAAACTAAATCTACTGTTATTATAAGAAAAACCCAGATATATCAATCGTATTATTTCCCTTGTCCACGCTTAATAGGCCGCGCCCTTTTTAAAATTTTCATTTTATAACGCGATCTAATATATCAACCAAAATGTTAAACGTGTGATAAGTTCAACTACGGTAAAAAAAGGGAGGAAACGCGCCCACTGATACAAAGAGCTTTATTCAAAAACACTAGCTTATGTCGTTTTCCAAACAAATCATCGAAGACATTACCCCTTTACACCCTAGCATCAGTATCAATATTCTCCATACTGTTCTCTATACATTTCCTTTGGTACTTACAAGAAGAATTCGATTAAAAATCAAAGCTTCCTAGGTTGGCGATTTTTTCCTTATTCTCATAATCTTAACGAATGATTCGAAAGCATTACTGTAAAGAAAAATTAGAAGCTGATCGCTCTTGAGTTTTTAAGGATAAAAGGGAAAACTATACGAATTTACTATCAATAACACATTGTTGAAAAATTACTTTCTAACATCTCCTAATTTTTTCTATGAACATCAGCGTAAAAGCTACGTAAAATTAAAAAAAAGATGCCAGATCGGATTTCACCCATCAGATGACTGCCGAATTACTGCAGATTTTTTTCTGATCGTGTCAAAATCATAACAATTTTGTTTTCTCTTCCCAATTCCAGAGAGCTCTGGCATAAAAATGACGTTATAACATAGCTAGTAAATCTGTCTAATCAAATTAAATTGCGTGACTGTGCTTCATATTCCTAGTGTGCACGCTTATGACGTCAGCAAACATATCCCTCGAGAAAAAAATTTTCCATCGGGTTGAAAATGTTATAAAACAATTGGTTCATACGTCAGCTGTGCGTTCATCGAGATATGAAGCACTTGGGAAGTTTGGAGAGCACTCAAAAAGCTAGGGTTGCATCTTTCGTGTTCTCCAAACTTCCCGCGTGCTTCATATCTCGATGAACGCACGCTGACGTATGTACCAATTGTTAATTGTTAACAAGACTTGTAAATCACTAGCATGTTTCCTAACAAAGTTTAAAACTTAGTTATCGATTTATCAGACGTAGTATAAAAACCTATCAGTTATTTATGTCAAAGAAAATAATACAGCGACTGAAGGGGCTTTCCTTTCAGTAGTTAGAAGCCTACAGTTTATCCTCCTTCTCATGGGTGAAACCGTCCCCTGTCTCCACATCTTCGCTTGCCTCTTCAGTGGGGACCTGAACACAGAAGGCAAGGAAAATATTTCAATTTTCAGTTACTGAAAATGTACATTATGGGTACACTGTCCGCGGAACAAGGGCGAGATGTAAACCTCGTTAGGAGAGAGAGTAGCGCGAGTTACTTTCGACACTCGACTGCAAATTGCTCTGTTACCGCACCCTTTAAGAGTGACCAGTTTCCAATTTCTCCTTACAATATCACCCTTAAATCGAATATTAAGGTCATGAGCTGAGAAAAAAAGGAAACGATCATTAATTTTAGAAGCTCCCGATTGTCAGTCAAATTCAACTTATAAGTACCTTAAGGAATGTAAACAGGACAGTGAGGAGAATATAAATAATCGATGCTGAAATGTAAAGGGTTAATAGCCACTGAAAAATATCTTACCTCCCAGAAATCATCATCATCATACATCTGTTCTTGAGAGGGTGGATCAAAGATTTTCCACCTCACAATAAAACCTGCGTGAAAAGACCAGTACACACAAAAAAAATTAAAAGCCTTTTCCCTTTAAGAGGTTTCAGTTAGACTCAAAGTTATTCAGATATCAAATCTAATTTTTACAACTGATTATATAAGCGCATGATAAAAATTAATCCTTCAACTTGAAAATGTCCGTTGAGCGGTCGAAACCTCGTTGCTTTTTAACGTTTTTATAATCATATCATAATCAAGAGACAAAAAACCTACAGTTCTTATGTCTGCACTCTGTATTCTCGAAATATCAATGAGATCGAAACGCTTGCTGACCGTAGCTTCATCAATTTTTTTTAAAGTTATTTTTTCTTAACGCTATTAAACTACGAGCGGTTCCTCCTCGATGAAGTCCGTCTCGCGAGCCAAAACTCAGTGAGGAAGGAATTAATGTTAGTTTTTTTTTCACTAATTTTTTTCCTGACTAAATTTTAAAAACAAAACAATATCTTAAATTTCATTCTGTTGGGAGAAAATACACTCGGGTGTTTTCAGTCTGTGCTTGATTTCAGCGTGATTCTTAACCTTTGATTGCGTGTGTTAGGAAATAAAGCAATTCTCGTTACCAGTCACAATTCCTCCAATGATGGCAATTCCAAGAGCGACGGCTACACCGGCGATCTGGTAACCAGCCTGAGCTTTGGCTGAGCGGCCATCTCCTGCATCAAACGGCACGCCCATCTTGACAAGGTCATAGTACTCAGTAGTATTTATCTTTGGAGCACGCGCACCCCACAGATTGAACAGGCTGAGAAATATCAAGACACAAAACAGACAATCACAAATAAAGAACGAACAGGGGTGAGGATAGAAATTCACACGATTTGCAAATTCAGGTTGAAGTTTCAAAGATGTACAAGTCCTTCAAATGTTCTCGACAAAATACACAGTGCTTGTTGAAAGGTTCGGCATAATTCTCGGTATTACTATTGGGATATTATAACACAGGAAAATTAAACGCCTTGGCGGGCAAAATGAAGCCATTCGTTCATGTTCGACGATCGACTGCTATGTCTGATTTTAGGAAATCATCTCAACGGTATAAAAAATTTGACGTACCCATCGTATCCGTATTTGTTAACATCGGCATGCGCAGCAGCAACGGCGCCCGCGATGCCACCAAGAATTCCCGGCATTCCGTGCAAGTTGTGTACACCACACGTGTCATGGGTCTTGGTGTATTTCGTCAAGAATGGCTGCAGAAGAGACGCACGTCGATGTGAAGTAAAACTTACCACTCCAAAATCGAAATCGATGCTACGATTTTTGTTTTCTATACTTAGACATGACATGAATTATCAATACTTACTGTCAGGTATGCGTATCCCACGGTGCTCAGTGCTCCGGCAGAGCAACCAATCAAAAGAGCCCCCCACGGACTGATTGACATATTCGACGCTGTTCCCACGGCAACACCACCGGCGAGAGTGGCATTCTGAACGTGGACCTAAAGACAAGAAAGAAATGATTTCTAAACATTTGGCCTTCACTATCTGATGTTCATCAAAATTCTCCCACTTTCTTGCACAAGACGTTGTGTTGAAACTGTGGAGAGATTTCAGGTTAAAAAAAGTTATTATCTCTCACCATGCTCAATCTCCATTTGGTTCCTTCTCTCTGGAAGAGAGGCGACAGCGCGAATGTGGTCACACAAGCAGCAGCCAATGAGAAGTATGTGTTGATGACGGAGCGGTGTTGTGCAACGTAATCAGGAGCCACTAAGGCAGCGTTGAAACTGGGCCAGTACATCCAAAGGAAAACAGTACCTAAAATGTCACAAAATGTTAATTCTTCCATTATCAACATCTTAACAGTCCCTCTTTATCAAAGAGAGTTGTTTGGAAAAACGTAGTCTAAAGAGCAACTTAGCGAAACTTTTTTTTCGAGGTAGGGGGCTTAAAAACGTTATTTGAGACCAACACAGCCAGTTGGTTAAAATATTTAAGCTGGTAAAATGGTAAAGCACTACAAATATTTACCAATCATTGCAAAGAGATCAGAATGATACACGGATGCTTCCTTAGGACTGTCCAAGACCTTTTTGTCATGTAACATCCGGGACAGGGCCAGCCCGAAGTACGCCCCAAAACTGTGAATGATTATGGACCCTCCAGCATCAGAGTACTTCAGGAACTCAATGGCGATCAGTTCGTTGATGGCGTAGAATACTACTTCCAGGATGCCGATGACCAGCAGTTGCAGGCGGCTCACTTTACCCAGGACCGCTCCGTAAGTGATGAGGACCGTGGCAGCGGCGAACTCTGATGTAACCAAACTATATTCAAATGCGAGGAAAAGAAGGTTATGACAGACACACACACTACAATTTCTATGCCTTTTTCTGCGTTGTCTGGCGAGCATTTCTTTAGATACTAGCAAACAGAATCTGGTGTTACTTCAGTTCATATTCCGTGGTTTGATGTTATTCTTTTTTTCTCATAACCTTTCTGCATGAAAAGAAAGTAATGTTGTAAGGAGAATTTACTTGTTGGTCACACCCGGGAGCGAAAGTGTCAAGAAGAGTGCAAGGATTGATAAAGTGCAACTTTCGAACTAAGGGAAAGCGCGCGTGCTTGGCTTCCTGGGTAATTGACCTTGGCCAGCCCCACCTACTCGTTAAACACCCTGGGTAGGCCGGTCACGTGATTAGGTTTTTACGGATGGAGCTCTAGCTTAGAGCACATTTCGATCAAGGGTCGATCACTCAGGACCCAAATGAGAAGACGAAGAAAAACAAGCAATCTGCCTGAAGCGCGGGAAAACGCCAGTTACCAGTCGTGATTGGTTTAAGTTTTGCATCTGATTGGCTGAGAAGATAGCGTGAATTTCTAGACCAATCACAGAACAAAATAAAGCAAAATCAAGCAAATCTCCGGGTACTTTTGAAATTTAGGTCGAAATTGTTCTAAAGAAAGAAGGGTGAATTCTCCGACCTCCTCCACGCTCCTTCACTGGAGTCCAATGGTAACAAAGAAGACCACTATGAGTCACGACTCCTACGTTTCATTAAACTGAAGGGGAAGGTAGAATTTCCTTTACAGTATTAACTGTTTCACTCCCAGAAGTGACCAAAAATGGAATTTCTCTTTACATTATCAATAAACTTTTGACTAAGGGATACCGTTGGCTCCAAAACAAAATTTTCAGAGCTGAAATTACAAAAGATGCTTTGTAGATGATGCCGAAAATTTTGATCTGGAGAGTGAAAAGCTACGTAAAATTTCAATATCTACTGCATAGTCGAATCAGGAAAAATCATCTACATACGTTTGTATGCTGAGCTCGATGTGTTCGTGTCCTTCGCCGTAAATCTGATTTAAACCTCCAGTTACAATTGTACCCCACTGAGTGACAAGAGCGGCGATAAAAAAGTTGTATCCTACGGCACCATAACCATACTTCTTCAGGAAGGTCATCAGGAAACCAAAACCGATGTAGATCATAACATGGACATCTTGGAACACTGTGGAAGAAACGGAGAGGAGTTGAGCATATCTCGGTCTATTTGGCAAGAGTAAAAGTAACCAAGCCGGTCATTCCAACATCAGTATGCATATTCTCCCTACTTTTCTCTATAAATTTCTCATGGTATTGACGAGGAGAATTTGTTTTACCTTTAGTTGGTGACCATTTCCTTTATTCTCATAACCTTAATGGTTATTTCAGGGGTGATAAAGGATAGAGAAGTTAGATGCTCATCACTCCTTAGAGTTTGAGAGCTGTGATCATTATTTTAAATTGCTTAAAAATTTTAACCCCTCTTCGTCCTCACATCAGTCTGTTCATGCGTCATACTGTCTTCTATACATTTTCTCTGATACTGTGAAGGTGAATTCACAACGGTCGTTCTTGATCAAAGGAAAGCGACTCAGAGCAATGCGCGCGATATAAAAGTGCACGCGTTAATTCACCTTGCGCCTGGCTCTTCAGCGAACAAAAGATTGTTGAACAAAAAAAAAAGGAATAACCTATTGGGAAAGTATACAACTGGATCATTTACTTCCGGGTTGGAATGGGGTGAAGTGATATATAGTGATATCGGCTCCTTTTCGTTGATGTGAAGGCATCTCATGTTGTCCATAATACACGAGCAAGGAAAAGCAGGCGATTAGTGTTTTGCACTCCGTTGACAGCTGTAATTAACTTTGAGTTACGATATTTTTTTTATTGTTTTTATTAGCAATAAAGCCGGACACTCAAGATTATCATTTCTTCTTAAAATTAAACAAATCCGATTTCAGCTCACTCGTGGAACTAGCGTGATTAGGGAAATTGAAAGATCAGTAAGAAAGAATCATATTATTGAAAACAGTATTTTATATTTTTTCTTCGAATAAGATAGGAAAATAGCCGTGTCATAAACGGGCTTACGCTTCACAGAATTTTGACTTCACATTTAGCTTGCTGTCGCGAGATCTGAAATTGTGACATTAAAGTACTTCTAAACAATTGGTAGATTCCGTAGAGATTATTTTCCGGGCGTGCCTTCAACCCGAGTAGTACCCCAACCCAAGGTGCGAAACAATAAGAATGAACTGAAATATGCGTGCAGCAACGTAGAATTTTTCATCGTTCGTCGGCATTTTATGATTTGCGTAATTACGTTTCTGAGGGAATCTCCCATGAACTCTCGGAAAAACCGAGAACTCTTTCGGTAACTTTGTAAACTCGATAACGAGAATTCTTGGAAACCGAGTTTTCTCGGTTCATGTGAAAATCTCTTGAATTCTTGTAATATACTTAAAAACTATACTTTCACGACAACGTTTTTGAAATGACCGTCACCTGATATCGACGTCACCCGAGAATCAGAGTGATAACCGCGAGCTTTGTACGTGGATCGGAGTGTACCATTGTATTTTTGCTCGGATCATGAGAATCCCCCAAGTCTGCCGAATCAATTGAGCGCTCCTCAAAAATGCAGTACACTTTGAACTGTATTATGTTTAAACTACGCTCTGTCATGTACTTTGACACTTGCAGTGTGCTTTAACACCCTTGGTGTACTGATACATCCATAGCTACGGCGTGCCTCTTTACATTTGTGGAGTCGAAAATGTAGTCCAAATTTGTATATAATATTTTGTTTCGTTTCCTGCTTTATTTCTTATTCACCACTGATAGGTTTATTTGTTAAGACGTCCAACTTCGTTAGAAACTTAGCTTTCGTGTTAAAGAACACAATTTCGCTGATTGTGTGGCCTGCAAACTAACTCGCGGAGGAGGGTATTGAAAAAAGTTTCGTGCGCGAAGTGTAAAAGGAACTCGAGGTGCGAAGAGAGCGCCAGCTCGATCGTAAAAAGCTCTTCAGGAGCCTCAGGTTCTAACGATCGAACGTCACGCACGCTTCGCGCAACACGAACGAGGGGCTTGAGTTAGGCCTCTCATTTGAAAAAAAAAAGCCACCATTCTAGGGAACCGTTAGAAACATTTTTGGTATGAAGAAACCTTTCGGGCTTAGTGAGATAGCTACAGGGGTTTCATCATTGTTAATATTTGCGTTATTTTAAAACCATAGCATATTTTAATATACCTCTTTGAAATTGTCAAATGGTGATATTGAGACCGAATTATAATTTTTTTCCTCTCTGCCGGGCGAATTTAAGAAAACACCGGTGCGAAAATTGAGACATCTTGCTTTCGTTTCAGTGACGAGATCCTTGAAACCACAAATATTAGGTGTGACCTTCGCATTGCGAAAAAAAATTATGCATCGTTGATGGAATATTATGTTGTGTATTTAAAGGAAGTGCTAACTTATTGGGCGCGATTGCAACACTCGATCATAAGATTTCCACCTGAGGACAAATGTGTGACGCCTGCACTTGTCCGATTTGGAAGTTGCTTCTAATTTTCCTCACTTAAACATGCTTAAGACGGTAAAACGTTGCGAAACAGCTCATTTATTAGCATTTAAGCGATGTGCGACGAGTCGAAAATCTATTGTCACCGAAAAGTGAATTCACTTCTTAACAAAAGAACTCTTTGTGACAAAGGACCTCGTGCCCTGTGTGACGTAAACATATTATTGTATAACATTAAGAGAACACGTGTCTTGGAATCATCTTATAACTGTAATATTTTCTTCAATGATAGTTTTCTGATGTTTTTCGCATAAGTTTCCTTCACATACCACCCGAATCAAATGTTGCTGCAAAAAGTTTCATAGTTACAGAAACTGAGCGCTCCGATGACTTTTAAGATGCATCGCTGCGTTTGACTTGATTAGGATTCAGTTCAGTTCCGCTTCAAATAATTCAAGGTCGTTTCAAAACAAATCACTCAAATCACTGCGTCCTACGAGCTATCGCTTTACGAAATTACGCTTTGTAACGTTTTAAATGTTCTTTTGCAATCCGTGTATAAAATATCCTCATAAAAGCGCACGTGCGATTTGTACCTGACCAACTATAAAGCTTAAAGTTATCAATAACAGCCTCTTAGGTCTATCGAAGACATCTCCAATAAATATGACCATATGAAAACTTATAAGATCTTACTTGGGTAATAAACCGAGATATCATTCGGTGACGGTGGTTCTTGCCGTTTCTGCCCTGCCACAGTCTTATTACTTCCAGTAGCTTTGGTTTGTTCAGACACAGGTTTAGGCGGGAGGGAGTGGCCGCCGTAATCAACAAGAACTGAAAACACGGCGATCAGAACAAGTTGAAATACCATTGTAACAAGTGTAAACTTCACCGCTGTTCCATTACGGCGAGTTCGCTTTTGCGAGGGACTGCTCACTTGTAGCGGTTGTCGCTGCGAGGAATCTAATGTATCGTCCATCTCGGAGTGCCAGTCACAATAACTATTATTATGAACTCTCAACTTACTCGAAAATATCGTTACTTCGACTAAGGAGCACGTGACGTCCTTATTAAGAAGATGTAACGCTTTCCTCAGTGCCGAGGGCGAATTGTATCTGTTTCCGGGTAATGATAACAAATTCTCGCCGTCTTCAAGTAGCTGATGTCAAATCTGCCGTTGCTTATGGAAAGTGACGCTTAATTCCTCAAAAATAAGGCTAGAATTCATAATGTCGATCAATGGTGATGTCTCTCTTAACTTGCTGCCCGTCTGTCGCATCTCAATTGTCTCGATTCCTTGGTTATTGACTAACTAGCGGCAACTTTACAACCATATATAATTTCGTGAGTTATATAAACTTCCTATGCGAGTTTTGACCCGAGTGGATTCAATACTCCATTCTACTCCATGTCCTCAATGTAAATAATGTCTAACAGTCTTCTTGAAAGGGTAAATATTTTGATTGGACTTGACACTCAGTGCATGTTGCGACTCATTCTCAGGGAAACTTTCGCCAACAGATTTCAAGACCTTAATTATTTTAGTTGCCCATTTTAAATCCTTGCCATTGCTTGGTTAATCCAAAAGGTTTTTTCGAAGGTAGAAATGCGACAGAAAGTGGAAGACTGGACTTTGAGGCGGAACTCGGTGATGAAAATAATACACGCGCGATACGCCCTCTTCCACCACACGCCCGCAACACGCCGAGTGTAATCAATCGCACAGGCTGGCTGGTTGGCAAATGCGTTTCACTTAAGTGCCACAATTCAAGAGTAAATCAAAGGGATATATAATTTTTTTTCATGTTCTTGAAGCGCTAAAAAACGACATCGAAAACGTAGGCTTTTCCAACTTCAGATATATTACATGTTACCTGAAGATCTTATCAATACAAGTACTACTCATCGTCGGTGGGGTCGAAAACGATGAGATATTTTGCCAAGGAATTTGGAATAATAGGCTCACTTGATAATCAAGTTAGATTGGCTGTTAAAACATTGTCATAGGGATAAGCCGTTGATATAGCCCCCCTTTGTGCGAAGGCGAGTTGAAAACGTACACTGAATTCTCAATAAAACCAAATGTGTATTCTTGTTGAGCAATTTGTAGGGTTGTTGTTGAGTTCCGTTTTTTTTTTTTTTTTTTTTCAATAATAGATGTGAGACTGAGAAACATCCTTTTCAATTACTCTTTTTATTCCATTTGTATCATGTTTTATGATTGCTATTCCTAACCTAGCATTAAAAGTAAAGCTTCGCGAAGTTCAGAAAAAATGCATTTTCCCTTGGTATAATTTCAACGATATTCGATTACTACTCCGTGTTGTTGACATAAAAAGGCATGGAACAGAGGACAATAAAAGATAGCAAGTTTTATAACTATGAGGCTCTTAATGAGAAACACATGGCTTTATAATATGGCCTTATTCTGATATATAAAGCATGTGTGCGTTTAAAACAAATTTCAAATATTCAGTACTAAACAGCTTGTGGGAATCTCCAAGTAACCTAACGCGGAAAGCTGAGCACACTACAATAATGTAAAATATTATTTTATACCCGAAGGCCATTTGTTTGTTTTTTTCGATGGATTTGAAACCCTATGCCTTTTCATGTTGCCGAACCGGCCCTTACGTTCGATCTTTCAACAGCTTATTCGTAATTTTGAAAGCAGCTATTTTAGGTAAAAAAAATTGGTAAACATCACGATGTACTCCGAAACCTCCTAGAATCGGATTACTACGCGCTGTTGTTATGAGGCTGGAAGGAAAGTGGGCGCTGTCCCATCTCAGGGCGTTTAAGGGACTTTTAAAATGCAATCAGTCTTTCGCTGTTATAACCTTAATTTTTTTTTTCTGAGGAGCGATAGAAATCTAAAGGCGGGGGTTTGATGGCAAACAAGCACAAGCCGAAACAGAAGGGGCTATGTCGAAACATATTCAGTTCGCCATCCTATTCAATTGTCAGTCGATTGTGGCAAGAAATTCGATTAGAAAGTACTTATGATATTAAGAAAAATGCAGTTTATTTACATTCATAGAAGTCAAGCGGAACATGCTACTAAAACAAATTACTTTCGTTGCCAACATTGTTATTCTCTCTCCTGTCATGGCTCCAAAAAACTGTGCGCTTTTACCTGTCTAAATAAAAAAACACCATTGATCGCTCACGAGTGACGCACGCCTCGATATCACGAGGGCCTCACGAAAGCGCTAAAATTTCTATCTCTGATCGATACGTAATTCGCCTTTCCTTTCCTTTTGAGGTTATTCTAAAACTGTACTGCTTGCCAAATATTTCAAGTAGCAGATCTCCTATTCAACGTTATTTGCAATCTGACCTTAAGGTCTCGCCAAAAGGTTTCCGTTTTCTCTGTTGGTTTCCGTTTTCTCTGTTGGTTTCCGTTTTCAGACCAATGACTTGATAAGTCTATCAAACCATACTTCTCTGGGTACGTGACCAAGAAAAAACTAAAGGAAACCTCATGGAAAATTCAGGAAATTCCATCATGTTAATTTTCTCTAACTTGTTGCACAGCAGGATCTATAGATTTGACGGTTTTCTGGAGCAATTTAAAAGAAAATATTTTTCTATTTTACTAACAGCATGAAAAACGCGCCAGTATGCAATTTTTCCTATTTTTGGATATCTTTTTTCAAAGGATATCCCGCAGACATGAAGAGGAATCAATGCTTCGTTGATTGACGCCCTATGAATAACTTGTGCCGAGCTACAACACACCCAGTTCAATCTAATCTTAATCCGCTGCAACTTTTTCAGGCGCGTGGCAAATTTTTAAGATGGAAAAGTCGCTCAGTTTTATTCAAAAGCCCCCCAAAAAAGGCTAAAAAAAAAGGAAGGCAAGTTCTGAAACTGACTCGCGGAAATAAATTAGCTTCTCAAGGATTTTTATGGTAAGTCTAGTAGAAGACACGAAATTTTCCTCTTTCCGCCTTTTGCCCAATACATTAGATCTAAAATATAACGGTAATAGTAATAATCTACCTCTAGAACTGGTGTCAAATAACAAATTAAAGAAAACCCTTACTTGAATAGTACACAGTTACATCGTTTACGGCGAGAGTCTCAGAGGAATTCACAACTGATCCTGCGGAACCTTTTCGTTTGTGCGGTGGAGAAGCGTGTTGGCCGTAATCAACCAAGACGGAAAACAAAATCACCAGCAGCACTTGGAAAATACCACAGATTATGGAGAATTTGAAGCCCATTTTTAGGATTTTTTTCAGTTCCTCGCACTCAACTCCTCGACGGTTGCGATGCCACAGTCTCAGAGGCGTGCTCTTACTGACGGAGCGGATGAATGTGCGAGCGTACAATTTATACGCACGCTTCGCGCCACTGTGCGAACAACAAAGAAACATGAAACTTGCAATATGAACCTTCCCCTATTGCAAGGAATCATTATGTGATTGGATATGATCCACGTGAGCAGAGTTCATATGCCACATCAGGTCACATCACGCGAAAAATAACGATAAAAATTTTACAAGGGCTTTCTTTAGCCGGTCGAACTTTAAACCCTACAACGCCCCACTGTCACCAAATAGGCTCATTTCAGGGAAAACAATCAAATAACATTTATTGACAGCCATCATCTTTGTGAGACAGAAATAAACATGAATATTGCGTCTAGGTATTGATTTGCAATCAATAATCCAAATTGTTGTCAAATGTTGATCAATGATCTTCACTGCCACTTCAACCGTGTAGAATTATGATCGCTTAAAAATTTTCATCGGTCGAGACCTTTCCATCGATTGAGACGTTTCGTCATCGACTCAGGATTCGTTATCGATATCCAAAAACAATCTGTTGGGCGAAGAAAAGATTCAGCCAGTTCCCCGCTGTTGGAATGACATTGAACATTGTGGAAAAAGCGCGAAATGGGAGAAACAGCTGCTAATCATATAAAAATAAACAAAAAAAAAGTTTGTTAAGCGGCGCGTAAAATGAAAAAAATGCGAAAACATTTCCGTGGCGTAAGGATAAAAAAGGTGATAAAAACGGAAAGTGTATGGATGAGTAAAGGAGCCTTATTCATGGCGGCCACCCTTGAGAGTAAGAGGAAACCAAATTCTTTTGGAGAAAAAAAATGCAGAATATTTACACGCTAATAAAGAAACGCGAAGTCAAGTGTGAATGGTACAAACACTGAGATGGACTGGAGCGAGTGGTTGAGAAGCCAAGAGTGTTTCGAATGTTGCTTTGGTAAAAAGGCGTGTGTATTTGGAGTCGTAATCGAAAATTGATTTTGAGGAGAGGTTTTGAAGGACGCATCAGTGTCATTGGGCATTTAGTAGAGGTTGAAAGTGCAAATATCTTGAGGCGAGGGCTCAATTGTGCTCCAATAGCAAAAAAAAAAGATGCGCCAGTTCTGTGGGCTGTTCTACAGGCTATTCCTACTCAAAAAGACCAAGAGGGGAGCGTCAGCTCCCGAACAGCAGCTGTTTATTAAGCCCACTTTCCTCGTTCAAGTGTGAATCTGCGCGCGTGCGTGTGCAGCGTGGGATCAGAGCCCTCTTACATAAACCGGCCGGTTTAGACATATTTAACCCATAAATTCCGATTAGCCTCTCATTTTCTTTTTTACCCTTTTCTTTTCTCTTTTTCTTTCCTTTTTACTTTCAGTGTTTATTCACCTTGAACTGAAACACTTTACGCTCTTTCTTAAAAATATTCTTTGTTGGAGGGAACAACGGGGTCTGTCCCAGCTTTATTCCGCCTACATCTGAAGCTAAAGCTCTACTCTGATTTCAATCACGCATGACCCGCTTTTCTCGTTGCTGCCTCGACAAGGTCGACTTCCCATCGAGAGAATTGACTCATGCTTGCAACGCTGCGACTTAACCAATGGGCTTATTACACACTTCATACATGCAGGGTTTACTTGGTTTACTTACCAGCTCCTTCAATTGCCTGTCAACAGTTAGCAGAAGCTTTCCGTCGAGCTTCAAAGAGAGGAATCCTTCTCGAATTTTGCCAATCATGTGACAATAGACTGGTGATAATGAAGCAATTTTCGGTTAATAATCCGGGATTGCTTTGGTCTTGCTTTACTACGCTCTGTGATTGGTCCAGGTAATTCGCACCACTCTCTCGACCAATTAGATGCAAAAGTAAAACCAATTACTTCTGGGTCGCCCGCGTTTTCCCGTGCCTTAGGCAATTTGGTTGTTTTTATTTTGAGTTCTAATTGGCTCCTAAAGGTATTTTCCTTCCTTTCTTCTTATTGGACATTGTGATTACTCAATCGAAAAGCGCTCTACTAATATAAGAAATAGAGATGATTATGATGTCGGAAGCTTATCTTGCGGAAACATTATGTTGCACTGGATAAAGAAGAATGAAATAAAATCGATTGTCACATGACTACAAAACACCTGTTACATCCCACTACCCTCCCCCACGGGCGTATTGCTCCAAGATGGCGGGACTAGTCGGTCGAACAGTTTGTAGCCGTCGTTTAGTCGGAAAAATTCGTTACTTGCACACGAGCAGAAAACATTTTGACCAGTATAAATGCGTGGCTGTTAATGAAGTAGAATCCTTTGTAGAGCGATGTATGAGCGCAGTGGGAACACCTTTAGAACATTGCAAAGCTTTGGCGCAAGTTCTTGTTGCCGGCGACGCGAGAGGTCATTTCAGCCATGGGCTCAATAGACTAGGTGAGTTCTGGTCAGAGTGGATGTATTTGCAATTAGAGAGGAATAAGAAAGGGTTAAATTAAGCCAGATCATATTCGTGCACATTTGATTAAATTGTGCACGAGCCATAGGTATGTTTGCATTGCGTGCGGACATAATCCCACTTTTAACGACAATAAAGACCCATCCGCGGTATCAGCTGCTAGTTTGAAAACCACGTAACATAGTTATGCAGTATTAGAATTAAGATTAATAAGAATTAAAGGGCCGGTTATAGCAGATAAAAGTTTATTTATTTCCTTTTTTTAAAATTTATTTTGAACTAGTAATCCAACTGCAGTATCTACATTTTTAAGTTGTGATCTTTTTATGGACACTCAAAAATTATCCAGTGTCATTAACCGGACTTTGTGCAAAACGGAAACTCCCTTCTTATTAGGCCCTATGATTAGATGAGTGGAGACATCTTTCTTTCCATAAATTTTTGGAGAGAAGAGAGCTTACCTGCAGGTACCTTATTGTGAAAAAAAAATTCAAACGCCCTCTCTATTAGGAAACCATCCCAACCTAGAAATGGATAAAAAGGCTATTGAATACAGAGTTGAATAAAATTATTGGCTTTTTTTGTTGTTTTTTCGATGTAGAAATTATATAAAAAATTTCCACAAATATAGCCTTAAGAACCAACACCCTGGGGGTGTTAACATCAGCATCAGAAATTGGAAATTCTCCAGCCCATATGCAGAATTCTCCTCCTTAAATTTAATGACTAAAGCTTTTCTTTTATTCAGATATGGAGAATATTCACCTGTTATGTCACACTTTTCTCCTTCAAATACACTTTATTTTTGTCTTTGTTGATTTAAAGAAAATGCTGCAAATTCTTCTTTTAACCCATAATTTCAGAGCACAGTGCAATGTTAGGAAAGCAACTTAAATAGCCAAAGTGTAATATCAGCTGATATGATCTAGGAAAACTGGGTGTTTTAGAGAGAGAGAGAGATACTTTATTAACCACCATTGCAGCCATAGGCTGAATTACGGGATATTTACAAATACTGATGATAACAAAAGAGGGAATAAGAAAAATTTTCTACATCTTATAGACATGGCTAAAAATAAAACTGTTCTTCAAACGCTCGGTTTTACATAGGGGGAGAGTGAAATCACTTTTGCGTCTCAGTGCATATTTACAACTCTTCCTTTGGGGGAGGAGACTATGGAGATTGTGGGTGGGGTTACAGACGATCTTGTCAAACAGATCGATTGAAATCTTTTCTCTCCTCTCATGAAGTTTCGGTAGGCCAACTGTTTTTAGTGCTACACTATATGAAAGGTCAGGATAGATGATTCTGAATGCCCTTCTTTGGATCCATTCCAAATCTTCACTGATGTAGTTTGGTAGAGAACGATGGAATAAACATTGTAAAGGATGGCTGGTAAGCCTGTGGAAAATTTATGTGGAAGGGCAAATCTTGTCTCTTTTAACTGATGTTTTCATGATTAGAACAAATTCACAATTTTAAAATATTTCTGGTAGAAACATTACAGAATCACACCCATTTAAAAAACGTTGCATGGGAAAATGCAAATAAGTTAGAAAATAGAAAGAGAGCATGCATAACCTCATTCAGGCCTGTCAATCGTACTGTCAATCATGTAATCCCCTGTGTATGCCGTGTTCACAAGTATTGTTTCTTGCTCAGACAACCAAAACGTAGCACTATTCATCAAAGAAGAATGGATGCAATTAGTAGCGTTATCTTGACATGGCTACATTGTTTAAAAATCGGTCAGATGTAAAAATTACATTACCATTTAAATGTTGGGTTTTTAATTTGTGTTAAGACTGAAATGTGGCAGATTTACAAGGTTCAACCATCAATTTCGCCATGAAAGCAAAACAACAGTACAGAAATATTCCTTTTTAACCTGTTATTGCCATCAGTTTCGGATAACATGTCGGTAAAGTCTATTTACTTTTCGAAAAGCTTAAGTATATGTTGTAAATTCCTGCTCCACATAAGTACATGTTCAGTTCCAACTCAGTTTTATCATAACACCATTTCATTCATTTCATCACTTTCAAACAATACTAATTGCTCCAATTGTGTCTCCACTGTCTCTAAACAGACACAAAGCAAAATTTTACAACTCCCGTTTGGGAATTTGTCAATTCAGATCTTAGGAGACCGAAGCTGGCAGTGAGCTTTTGCAACCTCATTCCCAGGTCATTACACCCACAAAGCGTCATGGGTACCCCACTTTTCCTGAGCGACGCTTTTCAATGGGCGCGATTCTGTAATGAACTTATGAATAGGAAGGTTGAGGAATGCCTCTTGTGTTTTATGACAGCTGAAACTGGGTACATGTTTTACTTTTACAATCTCTTCTGCCTCTTCTGATATTGTCTCTCTGCTCTGATTGACTGCCAAGAATAATTAAGTTGTAATTATTACCTTTTTGATGGAAGAGTGCTCTCAAACAATCAATTTTTCAGTTGTATACACAGTTGTATGCACAGTTTATTTAACAACTGGCAGGAATGCTATTGCATTTAATTTTCTCATTTAATTTTAGAAATGTATGTCCATGATATAAATGTGGGCTCCACAGTTATAAATGGAGATCCTGAAATTGTCAGAGAAACCAGTGCTACAGCACTTGTTGAGGGAAACAATCTTCTGGGGCCAGTAAGTGTGCTCTAAAATTTTACTCTGTTTTTATCCTTTGACCCCAAAGTGGCCAATATCAATATCACTGAATTCTGACCCAGAAGTAAACAATCTAGCTGTATATTACCCCAATAGGTGAATGCCATTGTTTTTGTTCATCTTTTTGGCTCTCTGAAAAGCCAGGCACAAGTTAAATTCCCATGTGCACTTTTAATTGCACATAATGCTCTGAATCACTTTCCTTTGATAAAAAAAGGACTGTTTTTTAAATTCATCTTTGCGGTATCAAAGGAATGGTGTGGAGAAGACTGGTGTGAGGATTTTTCAACATGAAGAGAAATTTCATATCTCCAGGCAACTGTGTAATATTCCTTTTATTATACAAATGTCAATGAAATACTAAATCATTTCACAAGGAGCAATTTTTATATGTAACATAGCGACAGTGGTCTTTCATGTGTGCAGATAACATGTTATCTTCATGAAATCAATGAAGATGTGATGTTTTGTGTGCAGGCTTACTTGGTACTTCATTACTGTTTATATATTGAAAAGAAATCTTGAATTTGAAATCTCTGTATCTGCTTTATTTTACATAACAGGTTGTCGGAAACTTTTGTAATGATTTAGCCATGAAGAAAGCTCAAGAGACAGGAATTGGCTGGGTTGCTTGCAAAGGTTAGGAGATTAACTAGCTTTTTTAATTATTAATATGTCAATTGCATTATGATTCATTTTTGTGTCTAATTTCAGTCTGTCACACCTGTTTTTAATGTCAATATGAGGGGTAAATTTCTTAAACGGATTTAAACTAGTACCAGACAACTGTCAAAAAAATATGACCAATTACTGTCATGGTTTAGTCATTTGGCTAACAATTGTTGTGCAATGGAATCAGCAATAATCATGATTCCAACTTGACTTTTGCTATTAATAGGAAGGGTACAGCTTAGTGAACTTGATGTGTTGCTTTTGTTGGATAGTTCATTGGTACTCATTTTGCAGAGAAATTAATTAATATTTTGTCACTATTGCAGGTTCTAACCATTACGGTATTGCTGGTTGGTATACAATAAAAGCAGTGGAGAAAGGACTTATTGTAAGTAAATTGTGATTCTCTCTCATTTTGCAATCATTAATTGCCAACAAAGCTGAATCTTGATTTTATGATTGTCTTTTTGTGTGATCTATTTTGGATTTTAATGGTGTGGTGGAACTGAAAAATTAGCTTCACACTTCAACCCCTAGAAGGGATTAACATGTAACTTCTTCGTATGATACCTGTACAGTGTCTAGCAAACAGGTAATGAGAATACTCAAACTTATCAGGTAGAAGTTGTTATCTTAAACTTACACCAAATTCTTAAAATAATTTACATAATTAAGGAAATGTACAACAGTTTGAGGGAGAATTAACAATCAGATCTTGGGATTTAAAAGGTTAAATGTGAAGTCTTGGCCTGTACATGGATTTTGTCCTATTTTATATTTGTTTTCCTAGGGGATGAGTTTTACCAACACATCACCATTGGTTGTACCCACAAGAGCACGTCAGGTACAAAGGCTTTTTCATTTTTTTTTTGTGTGTGTTTTAAGTTAAGCTAGATTCTACATCTAGCTATTGTTAGCTTGCTGGACTAGTGGTTCCTGACAAGAGTAATCATGCTTAGCTTTTGGGAAAGACTTTTTATTCTCTTACTGTCCCTTGGCATCCACAAGTTGAAATGGGTGCCCATGATCTGCAGGAGAAGCCTAATAGAATTATTGGAGAGTGCAAGGGAGTGTAATGTCTTTTAAAAAACAGAATTGTTTCAGCCAGTGCCAAATGACCATGGAACACAAATTCCAATGTGGCAACCTTTCACTGAAAATATTATTGAACTATTTGTTACAGTGACTCAAATGGTCACAGCTTGGATTCAACTTATACTTGAAAAATCTTTAAATGTGCATTTTTCAGGTTACTTTGGGAACCAACCCTTTGTCAGTAGCTGCACCAGCTAAAAATGGTGACAGCTTTGTTCTTGACATGGCAACAAGTGCAGTGGCTCTTGGAAAGGTGAGACCACAAGATAAATTGTGATAATCGTGAGATAGGAGTTAGGATTGTTTACTTAATTTAAGTAGTTAGAAATTTAGTCATTAACTGATCATTTTTGATATCCTGAACAATTTTTTTTTTGCTATTTTCTAATACTTTCTCTGCATATTAGCATGTACTGCAAGGGGCCTACTCAGCCTCAATAAGCTGAGTTGAAATTAAGTTACTTCCTTACTTGCTTATCAGAGCTCAGGAATTAAACTGCCTTGATCAAAAGATGGCCGAGGTTTTCTTTTATGATGAGCACAAATATATTGTCATTAGAAAAATAGTCAATTGTTTAATTTGTTTGATAATCTTTTTTTTTGACAAACTATAATGGATAATGTTAAAAACAGTCACTTACTGGTAGTCCAAAAAAATAATTTTCAGAATATTACCACATTCTATACAAAACAATAACAGTTGTAAATGCCAATGGTGTTCGACTGGTCTGTTGTTTTAGATAGAAATGGCAGATCGAAAGGGAGTTGAAATACCACATGGATGGGCAGTGGATTCAAAAGGATTGGTAAGAAGACTCATAATTCAAATTTCAGAAGCAAAACTTCCAGTAAATATTTTCTATATATATTTGAGATATTTTACGTTAGAGTTTGAGCTTGATGAAATTTTTAGCTCTTTTAAGAGAAATTTTTATGGCAACTTTTGTAAAGTTATGTTGCAATCTTTACCAAAATTACTTGTTACTGTAATTGGATTTTTCTGTCTAACAAATGAGGTTATTTGACCTCAAAATGACATTATATGATATGCTGAATTATTCTTGCATTTTCATTTGTTCTTACTTATGATCTTTTGGAGGAAAGATGCATATATGGTGTCACCATTAACAATATTTTGCTCTTTTATCTTATAAAGCAAACTGATTCCATGTTGCCATGGGTCTGTTCAGTAATAATAAATCACAGAAGACATCAAAATGTGTAAGAACATTAGTGACACACTCAGCTGTGCCTTGTGTGCTTTTTTTTTTTTCTGACCACATTTTGACATCATCTGTAGTCTGTTACTGAACACATGCATGGCAACATGGAATCTACTTGTTTTCTACCTGATAACTTTTTTTTTTCATCATAGGAAACTGTCAATCCTGAAAAAGTTTTATCAGGAGGAGGACAGCTGCCACTTGGTGGAACAGAAATAACAAGTACGATAACATAATTAACAGCCTAATTTTACTCTTCTGATGTATGAGAAGCCCTTGTTGAATTTAATTAAGCATTCCCTAGGGAGGAAACTATGCTTTGCCAATTTTGTGGTGGGTAATTGGAGAAAATGACTGATTGTATGACTTAACCTTTTATCTCCCATGAGTGACCAAGACAGAATTTCTTCTTACAATATCAATACAATATCAACCAGATAAGTGATGAGAATAAAGAAAAATATCAATTTGGGGATAATTAGTTGATCCAGTACTAAATTCTCTGAACTAACATTGTAAGAATTGTATGGTTGATAGTAAGGAGAATTACTAAATTAAATTTGATGTGGGAGGTAATGAGTTAAATCCCAACTTTGATTGTAATTCTCCCTTCTAGCTGTTGCACATTTCCTTGTTACTTAGTTACTAGAATTTTGTGTTAGATCAAGATAACAACTTCTGCCTGATAAGTTTGAGTATTCTCATTACCTAATAAGCTTTCACTTATTCATGATTGATAAGAAACCATCACCTATCCTTATGATTATGTGTTAAAAGGCTGAATATTATTATTTTATTTTTCGGCATTGAATTTTGCAAAGTGATATAGGGAAAGTCATCATGGCTCTCTCATGTGGGTGTTGTTGATTGCAGGTGGTTTCAAAGGATATGGTTTAGCAATGATGGTTGAGGTGGTTTGTGGCATCCTGGCAGATGCTGCATTTGGTCCCAATGTAAGGAAGTGGAAGGGTGATGACAGGGTGGCTAATTTAGTAAGTACTGGTGCTTTCTCTACTTTTACTACTTATGTTGTCTCGTGAAAAGACAAATGACATTGTATTTATATACTACCAAGGAAAGGTCTTTGGGAGGGTGCTAGATTTTACAAGCAAAGATGGTTTCAATACATCTTAAAAAGAGGCCCTTACTGTATATGAATTGAGTAAAATTCAAAAAAGGCAAGGCTCCATTTTTGTCAAGTTTACCTGGAATGATTAACCTGGGTCCAGTTGTTGTCAGGGAAATGTGCTGCGCTATCCACCAGATTGAATTTATCCAGTGGTTAGCACTATCCAACCTTTGAACAATCAGGGTGTGGTCCAATTTTGCCAAATCATGCCCCTTTTGACCTTTTTTTGTGTTCACACTTCAGAGAGTTGAATCCGTTTTAGGTTAATTCTTCAGAAATAAGAATCACTCTTAGTGGAGAGTCATGGGCTGAACTCCCAATATACAGAGATGGGTACAACTTGACAAGTGTGCAAAGCCATGGTACACTTTGTACTCCACATGTTGTTGTGTCTAAGTGCAGAATAACATCACTACACCATGGATTTAAAACAGCCAACCAAACTTTAATATACACTACTAAATCCTAAAGCTACAATTGACCAACATGCATGCAGCTTGACTATTTAAAATTCTGCTCTGGGACATGTGTTACATAACATACCTTACCTAACCTTTGTCCTTAATCATGTTCCCTATTGTTCTATTGTATTTTCCTAGTTCATTAACACAGTACTATTACACATGATTGCCTCTTAGCTTTGTAGCTTCCATGAGCAAGGTTATGCTCTGGCACTGACAAATACCTCTCTAGAAAATAGACTTTTGCTGTTCTATGGGCTGAGTAAACTCCTGTTAAGTGCTAAACCTTTTTTCCTTCTCATCTACCTGTAATTAATCTCTTTTTATAACTTCAATATGTCTACTAATTATTTGAATTGATGTTACATTCAGGGTCAGTGTTTTGTTGCTGTTGATCCTAAAGCATTTTCTGAAGGGTTTGAGGACCGCATGCAGTCACTTATGGATCATTGCAGAAATCTGCAACCGGTAAAACCATTTTATTTAGCTTCTCATGCTAAAAAATGCACCCAACTCTGGTTTTACTGATATTGCAGATTAACTTATGAAAGCCTGTCAAGTGCAGTGCCTGACCCTTTTCTATGACTCTGTGTAATATCTTAAGGCCTCACCCCTCTTGTTCAACATCTTGAATTGTTCAACCTTCTTAATTTTGACAACATACATTGGCTCATGTCTCCCTAATGGTGTAGTGTAGGTAATTAACCCTTTAACTCCCAGATCGAATTTGTAATTCTCTTTACTGTCAACTTACAATTCTTATAATGTTTATTCAGAGAATTTAGTATTGGATCAATTAACTAATTATCCCCAAATTGATATTTTTCTTTATTCTTGTCAATTATCTGGTTGATATTGTATTGATATTGTAAGGAGAAATTCTATCTTAATTAATTCTTCTGGGTTTAGTTGTTCAAATGGTGGATAATGCTATCCATTGGATAAATCACTATGCTGTGGAGAGGAGTTAACAAATGAAAACTGTGCTATCCACAGGAGAGATTTATCCAGTGGACTGCATTGTCCACCTTAGCACCACTGGAACCAGGCCAGCTTACAAATCACCCAGTCATTCTGTCAGATCAGCCAGTGAGCCTGTCAGCTGGTTTGATCTTCAGTCAGTTGCCCATTTTTCTTTTGCAAATCCCTCAGTCTCTGTACTGGTTGCATATTGCACAAGTCTTTCTTAATATGTGATGATATCTAAGACCATGGCACTTGATGATTTTGCCAACTGAGGAAGCTCTTTTAGGGAAACAATTACTGCCTTTCAAAGGTCCACACCCTGAGAGAGAAAAAAAATTTTGTTCAATATTGACTGCAGCATTATAATTCCACAGGCAGAGGGTGAGACCACTGTGCTTGTAGCAGGAGACCCAGAGAGGGCCCACATACAAAAAGTGAAAGAAGATGGTGGTATTCACTATCATGTTAATTTGCTGGAAGCTATGGTATGTTAGCATAGATATGCCTGTTAAAATATTTTGATCAATTAATGAAATGCGGGAATTGCAAAGTAATGAACTACTCATTTTTCCGTCTTGGTGAAATCCCAGAATTCTTCCCATATCAAAATAGCGACCAGTATATCTTTACTCTGTCCAGTAGACATACTGCACCATTCAGATCTTTAAATAAGGAGATAAAAATTTCATTGTGGTAACTAGGTTTATCAGCGTGGCAGTTTTTCTTTTCAAAAATATAATTATAGACATTACTAAGGTCAATTTCAGCTATCCTGTTATCAGCTCTCAAAGATAAAATTGTTATCCATGCACTGCAATGTTTTATCCCCCATCAGTAACACAGACCCTCTTTTCTCTCCTTTAACCCTTTCAATTCCAAGATCTGAAAGTAAATTCTCCCCTCCAGCTGCCTTGCATTTCCTTGTAAATTATTGACAAGAATTTAGTGATAGATCAGAGTAATAAATTCTTCCTGATAAGTTTGAGTATCCTCATTACCTTTTTGCTGGATAATGTACAGATATTAAAGGGAGAAGTTATAGGTGAATCACCTCTGGGAGCTGAAAGGTTAACTCTAATACCTCAGGTGATTAAAATGTTACTTCTCCACACAATTTCATTACATCATCTAGGAAGCTGGTGATGAGGAAAAGAAAAACATGGTAAAGGGGATATAACCTCTCTTTTTTTAATGACACCAAGTCTTCTTACTATCATGATAAAGCAGCACATAGCAGCTAGATGGGAGAGCTACAAAGCAGATCATAAGAGATAAAGAATGAAATGTTTAAATTAGGAATACATGTAGTAATATTAAATTGCTTTATTTCTTTCTCTCCTCTTTATTCTAGGACAAGCTTGCCGACCAACTAGGTGTGCCATGCATGCCAACAAAGTAATACCACTCACACATACATGACATTACTCTTGTCTTAGAGAAAAGATATTTTACCAATGACTTACACATATGCGCCAAAGGATCAACTTATTTTCAGACAAAGTATTTAACCATCACAAAACATACTCAAGAGCTAAAGTGCCACTTTAAGTAAGGGGTACCAAAGAGTTAGGAAATTACTGTACCTACCAAAAAGGGAAATTAGGACTAAATTAGTGTTTTATTACATATCTTTCTATGTGCTTAGCTCATTTTTCTCATAGAACTTGGCTTGTATGCCAGGCCTATGATAATGCCACTGTGTTATTGGTTCTGGTACTTGCTGAGTTATCATATGATTTACAGTACATCAGCAGTACCATTACACTATTTCAAAATCAATGATTTGGGTGCAGAAATATTCACCAATAATGCGATTTGAGTGAATGTATTTAGATGGCAACAGCAAATGACATCTTGACAATCTGAGTCAAAGTTAAGGTCAGTGTTAAGTCTGATGATACGACTGCAAAGTGACAGTCAAATGATAGTAATTGTTGATACTAAACCCAAAAGTAAATTTTTCTATTCACTTAACATTTACAATTAACTAACAAAGTCACTCACAAAATGGTAAAAGGGACACACTTTAACAAAAATCAACATAGTAAAACTATGGTTGTAGAGAACCTTTGTGTCCAACAAATGTCACAGGTTTTGGGCTGATATGTGAAAAAAAACTACACGATTTTATATTTTAGGGTGCTTAAACAGAGATCAAAACCAATATATAGCAAGGGGGGGTTTCAAAAGTGGCAGGTAAACCCCCCCTTCCCAACTAGTAACTTTGTAGATAAAAAGCTGTCATGTACAATACCCAAACAACCTAACATGTCCCCAAATGGTGGTGAGACACTAGTATGGGACTGCTACCCCTTAGTTTTGTTAAGAAAAGTGATATCTGTTGAGTGAAACAACCTGCCATGCCCCAACATTCCAGTAAAATACTAGCACTTGTGTAGGAAAGCAATCTAAAATACTCCATAATGTCAGTAAGACTCAAATGCAAAACAATACCCCCCCCCCCTCCTTATCACCCTTGTTAGGATGAATCAATCATCTCTCATGGTGAAGCATCTAACAGGTCCCCAAAGGTCGGTAAAATGCATCCCAATTGCTTTCCAGCTTTGTCAATGAATATCAATAATCTACAACAATACCCCCAAATGTCAATAAGATGTTAGTGTAGAACTGAGTCTTCCCCCCCCCTACACACACTTTTCTTTCTAAACTTTGTTTAGAGTGATAATTTGCTATAATAGAGCACCCTAGCCTTTTTATACTAGCATGATACCATAGTGTGTGATGCCTTCATCTTAGCTTTTTCTAAGGAAAAATAATAATTTACAATAAAAGATTGAAACTATCTTATTTTCTTCAAAAGGACAGTAAGAAAGTGGTGGAACCCCCCTACCCCCACTTTCTTTACTGTACTACAAAAAATTGATAACAAATTTATTTAATGAAAACAACCAGGTATGTGCCCTAATGCTGGTAAAATCTTAGTCTGAAACCCCATCCTCGCATATACCCAGAGGGGAGGTCCTGGGGTGCCCGTGAATTTCC